TCTCTCTATTTCTCTTTCTCTCTCTATTTCTCTCTCTCTCTCTCTCTCTCTCTCTCTCTCTCTCTCTCTCTCTCTCTCTCTCTCTCTCTCTCTCTCTCTCTCTCTTCCTCCCCCACTCTATCTCTCTATCTCTCTTCTGCTTTCTCTCCGTTTTTCTCTCGCATTGACAAATGTACATACACAGGAACACAAAAGGACACAGTGATGATGAACAAAGAACAACCACAGAAGACTTGGAATCTGCCTTCAATTGCATGCAAGCACACGCCAACACACACCCTACATCTTGGTCCTTTCCACGCAGGCATTGGCATTTTGAATTTTTCCAAAAAAAAAAGAGAAAAAAGAAAAAAAAAGGATGTATTAAAAGGGCCTAAATTGTTCATGTGTTCATGGGGAGGGGATCACAGTACCTCGATAATCTGAACAAACTAATTTGAACTTTCCCAATTTTTTTTTTTTTTATAAGTATATATATATATTTTTGTCACGAGTGTCATCATTTTATCTGGAACAGTCTCGAAACCTGAACAAGCCCCCCCCCCCATCCCCCCCTCTCCCGACTCCCACCTCCCCCCCCACGACCTCCTCCCTCTTACTCTTCCTCCCCCCTATCAGCCGTCCCCTCCCCGCAGGGGCGGAGAAAGGGGGGAGGGGGAAGGGGGAGGGGTGGAGATGACACCCCCCCCCCAACCCGTTTGGTCCCCAGCCCATAAGGATTGGACCCGGAATTCTCTGCCTCACACACACACCCTCCCCCCTCCCCCCAGATCACCCCTCCCCCTCCCTCCCCCCCGACCTGGCCGTAGTCAGTTCTATGTAGTTGCTGCCGTTTTGCAAGATCAGAGCCCGTTGCAAAATATGTCTCCCATTGCAACTCAGCCGACACTGTCAAGCCCATACACGTTTCCGTCTCCCCCCCCCTCCCCTCCCCCCCACCCACCCACCAGATTCTCCTGGTTGCGTTTTAGTGTAATACTTCGACTACTACTACTACTACTATTCCCACTGTCAGTACTACTTTTATTACTACTAATACTACCACTACTACTACTATTACTATTACTATTACTACTGTACTACTTCTACTCTTGCTACTATTACTACCACTACCACTACTACTACTACCACTACCACTACTGCTATTATTGTTATAAATGCTATTTACTACCATGACTAGTATATTTGTGATATCGCCAACACTTCTGTTATTAGTACTATTACTATTGTTACTGCTGCTAGTATAACTATTCCTACAACTACTATCACCGTCACTACTAGTCTTTAATACCACTGCCACTTGTCATACCAAAATTGACGGATGAACTGTCATATTTGCATGTGTTGCATCACAGTATAATGCCCATGTATGCCATTTCACACAGAGCTCAGAACAAACACGCATTCATTGGCTATTATTTGAGCCTTTTTTAGAAACAATATTTCCAGACTTGCGAATTGGCTCGCCTCTCTTGGCAGTGACGCTGTTCATTGTGTTGAGAATGTTAATAGCGCTTTTCCCTCTCCCTGCCCCTTTCCCCTTCCCTTTCCCTTACCCCACTACCCCTCCACCAGCCCAGCCAGCGAGATCCCTTTCCCTTCACTCCTTGCCTGTTTTCCCTCCCTTGCCTCCCTCCCCCCCCCTTACCTTCCTTACCTTCCTTATCATGTCCTTGTTCCCTTCCCCTCTCCTGTACACCCCCCCCCCTCCCATCCCTCACCAACATACCTCTTGCTATCCTTCTGTACCTCAGCATCCCCCCCCCCCTCCTTTTCCCATGTTCCTTCACCCCCTTGCCTCCCCCCCCCCATGCCTCTACACCTCAGACCCTTCCTGTCAATTCCTCTGCAACCCCTCCTCCCTCTCTCCCTTAACCCCCCCCCCCCTTCCACTCATCCTTTCACCCCTCCCCACTCGCCCGTACCCCGTGCCCTTCCTCCATCCCTGTATACCCTATCCCTCCCCCTCCCCATCACCCTCCCTCACCCCTCCCTCACCCTCCCTCACCCTCCCTCACCCGAGCTTCACACACAGTCTTGCTTCTGCTGTAGGCCAACAGTGTAGTCCTGCAAAGCTATGTCTCCTCACCAGTTATTACACGCGTTATATTTCTCGCCATTATCCTATTTATAATAACACTTTTTTTTATTATGATTTCGATGATTTGTCCTACAACTCCCCCCCCCTCCCCCCCCCCCTTTTATCCTTTAATTACCAGCCCCCCTCCCTGCCCACTACTCCTCCCACCCCCCTGCCCTTCTGTCCCTTCCCCTGAACCCACTCTTTCGTGTGGGTGTTTATTCTTTTATTCTTTTATTTCCTCAGCTTCTTCCCCCCCCCCTCCTTTCCCTTCCTCCTCCTTTTGCTCTTTCTTTTATCTCTGCCTTACGCTATCTCTATTTTTTTTTTCTCTCACATATTCTCATTCTTTTAAACTTTGCCTTTATTCCCCCCCTCCCCCCTCTTTTTCACCACTATATGCTCTCCCCTTGCCCTCCCCCCCCTTCTTTCCTTCCCCTTACCTCCCTCACCCCCTTTCTTTCGCGCGCTATCCCCGCACATTCCTAGATAAGTTCAATGTATCTGATCAGTTTTGCTCTTGGATAACCCCTCTCCCTTTCCCCCCCCCCCCCACCTTCTGTTCTCTCCCTCTTCCCCAACATCTCTACTCTCCCCCCTCCCTCTCCTCTGTCTCCCCCTTTCCCCAAATTCTCTCTTCTCTCCTCTCTGCCAACTCTCCCCCCCCTCCTCCCTCCTGCACTCCCCCCTCCCCCCTTCAACACCCTATCGCTCCCCCCTTCCCTCCCTTCGACGAGCAAAATGCTTTAATCAATCATTTCTTGTTTAGTCACCTCGAAGGCACTCTAGTTCTCTTGAAGTGTCTATATTGCAGGCAAGGCTATTTAAGCTCCCAAGACCAGCTATTGCAAGAAAAACGACCTTGATCTTGCAAAGTGGCTCTTTCTTGAATCTTATTATTATAACTATATCAGTTGTTGTTATTTTTTTTTTTTTTCATTACTATTATTGATTATTGTCATTACTGTTGATGTCATAATAATTGCTAGTATCATTATGTTTATTACTATTTATTGTCATCATCATTATTATTATCATTATTACTATTATTATTATTATTATTATTATTATTATTATTATTATTCCATTTAAGTCTCATGGCAAGACTCGCTGCCTTGATTTTACCACCACACACTCCAGCGTGTAACTTGGATGGTTTTCGACTCCCTAAGACTCCCTCTCTTTGCCTCTCTCCCAACGCACGTTTTCCCCTCTCTCTTCTCCCCTCCCTCTCCCCTCTCTCCCTTCCCAAGTGCGTCTTGTTGTTAAGCAACGTCAGAGGAACAGTTAGAAGTGGGTGTGGAGTCATCCGGAATGGACTTCAGTCAGTATAGGTGACATCAGTACAAAGCAGACGTCATTCATCTCCCCCGAGACTTTATTCCCAGGCTTGAAGGTTGATAGTAAGAGAGAGAGAAAAAATTTAAATGACGTCCATTTTTGGATTGACGACCACACTTTCCAGGCCATACTTAGCGAGCCTCCCCCCCTCCACCCCCCCCCCAACATCATCCCCACCCCCACCCTGCCATCGTGGTGGCACAAGCGAAGGCAGCGAGTCGAGCCGTGCCTTTGGTCATCCTGTTCTCAAACTATCCTGTTCTCAGTATGTGTCACAGAGGCGTCGCGGAACCGTCCTGTTCACGCGGCCCTTGCCTACTTTCTGTCTCTCCTTCTCTCCCCCTTTTTTTTTTGTCTTTTATTCTTCTCTCAGGGACAGGCTTGTGGCCTTGCCCTTCGATACACAAATATTGATGAGAGAATCGTAATATGTTCCTTTCCATGAGAACAGGATATCCCTGTGTCTGGGCGATTGTTTCCTCCCCTTTGCCGTTTAGTCTGAAGGAAATGTTGTCGTTTTATGCAAATTACTCTAAATCTATTTTTGATGTCATTCATTTTGCTTATAGATTTGTTGCTAATTAGCATTTCCTTTCCGACCATCAACGCAAAACCTAAAAGGGGAGAAACGACAGTCCACCGACACTAGTTGAGATCCGTTTGCCATTTTTTTAAATTTTATTTTATGATTTCCTTTCAAAAATAAAAGTGAAATTAAAGTACATTAAGTATTCTAAGTGGTGTTATCCCTTGACCTCACGTAGGATCATAGCCTTAATCACTGCAGGGAAGAACACGTTTTTGTCTTGATTGAGTTAGACTAAAAGATTATGAAACCGGAGGACAAGTGACCCAACTCTCTTCACGTTTTTTGTGGTTACCTGTTCCAGCATTTCTATCAAATAACCATATATATATATATGTATATGTATATATATATATATATATATATATATATATATATATATATATATATATATATATATATATATATATATATACATATATATATATCTGCTCTTACCACAATTACAGTTTTGTGACGTGCCAAATTAGATTTTTGATTGATAGTTTGGTGAGAGACTTGACTGGTGTAGGTTCACGGAGATGCGTGATCATGGCCTGCCTTCTCTCTCTCTCTCTCTCTCTCTCTCTCTCTCTCTCTCTCTCTCTACTCGTCACAAATTGTTATAATATATTTATTTTCCCCTCACAGAGTTAAGACGAACTAGCTTGTGGATCGTCTTCCTGTGACGATAATAATTATAAGAACATCTCAGTTGTATATTGTGTGGTCACTAATACAGTGAACGATGATATTAGTACTTCTTGCATCTTCATCATTTATTGCACACACTTGTGCATGTGAGATCAACCCTGCCTACCTTGCGAGTGACGGCCATGATTGGTGGCCATGATCCGTGGCCATGATCCGTGGCCGTGAGCCTACACCTGCGTTTAGCACCCTCCCTCCCTTCCCCCACCATACCCTCTGCCAGCACCCGCCCCAGGCGAAATGGAGCCCGGGGAACAGCGGCACGATTTGCCTTCTGTATACTTAATGTTCTCTGTGTTGCAGGCTTTCCCTGGAATGGGCGTGCCCTACAAGCGCCCCGCCGGAGACAAGTCGGGCGTGCCGGTGTACCAACCGACGGGGAACGCAGCGTACCAGCAAGCCCTGATGCAGCAGCTGGGAGGGCAGAGCTTTGTGCCAGTGTCATGTGAGTATGGCGGGAGTGTCACCCTGGCGGGGGTGGGGGGCCAGGCCGACACCCAAGACACCACCGCCGCTAACAACCACGCTGCCGCTTCCTCCGCGCAACCCACTCCCTCATCCTCTTCCTCATCCACTTCCACCACTACCACCATTAACTCCCAAACCACTGGCAAAGCCATCTTCTCTAGCCCTCCTTCCGGTACCACCACCACCTCGACCACTTCCTCCACCTCCTCCTCGTCCTCCGTGGCAGGAGAGACAGCAGGTGCCTCGCCAGCGCCCCTGCCGCCGCAACAGCCAGTCAATGTGTTCTCATACACAGGCTATGCGCTCAGCAAGGGCCTACGCCCTCAGTTCAAGCCGCCCACCTCAGCCCCAACCATCATGGGGCCCACAGCTCTCGCCACCCACGGCATGGTTCCCCCAGGGCTGACTGCGGGACACCTGCCCGGCCTTAGTTACGGCGGTGTCGCGGCAGCACCCTTAGCCAGCATGGGCGTGACACCCTATGTGAGCACAGCCCAGCAGTTGGTGGTCCCGGGCATGACGCACTCCGTGGCGGGCATGGGGCTGCCGACGGTGGGCCATGGCCTCGGCGGCATGGCTGCGGGAATGGCCCCTGCTTTGGGGGGTGTGGCGACGGCGAGTCTGGGAGGCCTGGGTGGTGGTGTGCCGCTCATGAGCCCCTCACTCATGGTGCCCCAGTACCCCGCCTCCTCCATCCTTCCCCAGTACACCGCTTTGTCCAGTAACACCAACTACTCGCTGGCTCAGGGGGGCGAGCAGCCGTACAAGAAGCTGAAAACTTCATAAAAGTGTGTGCATGTGCGTACCGGCTGACGAGCAAGTCTCCCGCCTCTGTAGGTCTACTTCCTTGCGCTCTCCTCGCTCAGCGCCAGTGAGCGAGCAAGACAACAACGACCAGCATCTAGTGGACTCTAGTCACGCCACTACTAACATCTACCAGTGTCCTCTAGGGCACAGCGTAACTTACTAACTGGCCTATAATTTTGATTTTAGATAATTGACGTAGCACATGTATCTGTCACTGTAGTTTTCTTGTTATTGTACCTGTTTTAGAAGTTTTAGAATTAATGATTTTACCTTTTACGAAATATATGAGACATAATGTTGTCAATTTTAACAAGACTCCAAGTCTTTTTTGCTTTTAAACGACACTGCAGAGCAGACTTGCTGCATGTCCGCTGGTAACCGGGGTATGACGCCTGCATGGTGCTCAGCTCAACACGGTGTTTGTGATATGTGATGCACGGAGACCACACCGCGCCCCGACCCCCTCCCTGCCTCACCCTCCCTAACACCACCCCCAGAACTCCCCTCCCTCCCCCTTACCCCCCTGCGTCCCCTACACACACACTACTCCTGCTGCTGCCGGAGTCCCGAGGGAGACGGTGGTGGTGACGCCAAGAGCGACCGGCAGCAGCAGCAGCAGGAGTGGCAGCGGCAGGTCGGGGGAGGGGGGGGCGTCCTAGAGGGTGAGAGGGGCCAGGCAGGGCTTGTGCAACAGAGGATTGTCTGAGATGTGTCAAGAGTAATCATTATACAGTCCCCTCCCCCTCCCCCCCCGAAAACCCACGTCGCGCTCTCACCACGCCCACGGTACGCCCAAGCCACGCCCACCACCACACATTTCTGTGATAGTCTCGCTTTGCAAATGGTCATTGCAAATAAATATGCATGTGCAAAAGACATGGTAGGCGTAGCGGGCGGGCTTAGCTTCCTTTTGCGAGGGCGTAGGTGGGGTCGGGTGGTGAAAGCCGGTGAGTGCCATAGAGTGGTGGCGTCTCCGTGTAGTCCCTCAGCATTCCCAGTACTATTGTAGCACTACTGTACCATGCTCACGTCCAACTTGATGTGATGGTAACTAGGTATGGGTTATGTTGATGTACCTCTGTAATGCTTCCTTTCTGTAGCCAGGGTCACTAAGGCCCTGCCCGGGCTTATTCAGTACACATTGCTCTGTCAGGCATCAGTTTTTGTTGGACTGCTCTCATCTTTTTGTCTGTTATGTAATCCTATGATTCTGTTCAACATTATTATATTTGCTAGCTTTTAGTGCTTTTCAACATTGGTCTGGGTATCAAGTATATGTACAATTTGCCTGTGTATTTCAGTCCTTTTACTGATACAAAATATTGGCCTATGTATAAGAATATTTTTAAAATAATAAGTCTGTAGAATGCATGATATTGTGTTTGATTTCTGCTTGACTCTCTTACTGTCACTGCTCCTTTACCCGGCATGACACTAAAGTCTTGGTCAGGTTAGCGCGTAGCACACGCCCGACTGCTAACAACCGCCTCAGAGTCTCTCGCTTCCAGCCACTGCCCGGTGATTGGTTCACACGGGAGCAGCTTGGTCACCCAGTGGCTGCTCCAACCACTGTAAGCACAGCCTGTGTTATGTGTGTCCTTCCTTAAACCCTCCCACCCTCCCTCCACGCCCCCCCACCTGCACCATAAGGTCCCCCCTCCACCCTCCCACCCCCTGTCCCTCCATCATCTACCTGCCTGCCTGCCCATAGAGAACAGCTGGTGTCGCTTGCGATCCCCCGCCCGTCTCTCGCGGCTCAGCCGAAGGGCGAATCAGCTCTCTGTGTGTTGCCTCTTTAAATTCTTTTCTAGCGGATGAGATAAATGATCTGCTCTTATAGTCTTTTTTCTTATATGTTTATGTATATATATGTGTATATATATATATATATATATATATATATATATATATATATATATATATACATATATACATATATATATATATATATATATATATGTATGTATGTATTATGTATATGTATATATATGTATATATATGTATATATATGTGTGTGTATATATATATATATATATATATATATATATATATATATATATATATATATATATATATATATATATATATATGTATGTATATATATATATATAGACATATATGCATGTACGTATGTGTGTATGTACAGACGTACATATATACACAAAAGTGTGTATATTTGTGCACGCATATATGCATACATACATACATACATATGTATATATATATATATATATATATATATATATATATATATATATATATATATATATATATATATATATACATATATATTTATATATATGATATTATCCTTGAGGGGAGAACGGTATGGAAGAAACTCCGTGCCGGGATTTTTTTTTGCTTTGACTTTCCCCCAAAGAGCGGTTTCTCACCCCCTCCCCCCCGTGAGAACGATCTTTGGAAGAATTTAGAGAGCGACAAAGTAGGTAGACCGAGCGGCAGTGTAGGTGTGGGCGAAAGGAGTAAGGCACCACAGGCTGGGCTACACTAGTGGGTGGAGAAGGCAGGACTTGGTAGGTTCACGGTCAACTTAGGGAGGAATGTGAGAAACCGGAGGCAACATTTGGCTCTCTTCCTTTTTTTTCTCTCTCTCTTCTCTTGTTTTCTTCTTCTTGTAGACAGTGGAATTTTCTTTCAGATTATCTTTATACACATCGCAAATCTTTATCGAAACTTCTTTTTATTTTATTATTAATGATTTTACTAACTTTTGGTTATGCAAAACTTTTGATATACTGTTGATGTATTTTTTTAGCAACTCTATCTATTAACTTTCTGATTTCTACATAACAGAGAATGATCACACCTTTCTTACATTCTGTAGTTTCCGATCTTTTTGCCCGAGAGGTAATGAGGTGGGTAGGTGACTCCCTAAGTTGTCGTGAATTCCTTCCTGGGCATGGGCGTGAGCTTAGCGGCTGACCTGATGTGACCCAAGTTTAGACACTACCATCAAGCCTCTGAGCAGTGACTGAGCGAAGCAGTTTTTGCAACCTGCTAGACGGGGCTCTGGGTTGCCTGGTGATGGTTAGCCCCATGGGAGATTCTCACCTCATCTCTTTTGTTTTTTTTAATGGCATCATAACTTCCAGTATTTTAAGTTGCAAGGATTAAAAAGACTAATAATGTTGTTGACGAAGCCGCGTGATTCTGCAGTGGCTGCAGCATCGCCGCCCGAGCACCACCGCCGCCACCCCCACAGTGACTCCAGCGACCCTGTGCTTCTCTCTCCTTTAACCCTTTTCCACGACCATTCCTTTTTTTCTCAGCTGATGAAATATCTGTGATGTATCCCTCAAGCCCAACCCATTCACTGTGTTGAGCCAATCACTGTCTGGAGGAGGTGGAGCTCGGGCTCGGGCGGAGGCAGTGTGTGGTGAGACTCCTCCCGGGGCGGAGCACCTCGGGCCCTGGGTATGCAGTGTTGGGCAGGGCACAATCCTATCACCACACCGCGTCAGGAACAAACCCTATATATATATATATTTACACATATAAAGACATGCTAGTACTGATATTTTTGACTTAGGCAGAAGTATTTTTGATCATATCTCCATGGCGTAGATTGGCTAATGTTTCCTCTCCCCCAAGTCGTATGATAGCTGTGCAAGATCCCAGTGATGATGAAATGGTTAACAAAATATACCCTGCATGACATATATCTATATCTATAATACATGAATGAAATCAGCTAATTTGTTGAGAAAAGTATGCGAGTGAGACGCCTCACTGAGAACGCTGCACGGAAGTTCATGATGCATTATGTAGATGAATGACATGTAGAATTTATCTTGCATGAGACTCACTTTGGAATCTATATAATATCTCATACTTACCAGAGCTCTATGGTATCATCCCTGACGATCAGTTTTACACGTGAACTTCGGCCTAAGAATAATCGTTAAGTGCGAGGAATGAAGGTTCTTGGAACTAACACTTATCTTAAGGTTGACTACCACAGTGGATGCAAAATATGGCTGGCATGATAAGAGTCATTCTTCATCTCTCTTTGTTGCTGAGTGGAACTGACTGGTTTGCACGTTAAGGAGCGGGGTGTTGATTGCAACATGCCAAGCAACTTAGGCGAACACAGACCCTAGGCGAAGGGGAGGGCGAGGGCGAGGAAAAAAAAGAGAAGGAAAACTTTCAAAGCAGACTCTGGTTGTTCCTGACGGCGTGTGTGACCTTAGTTAGCCGGACGCGGCGCTAGCGTGGCTCTGATCCTGTGAAGACTGTGACCTTAACTGTCCGCACGCGCGCCACACTCCTAACGCTATGTGTCGCCATTCTACGACTCTGCCATGATGAGCAACGGGCGGGAGGAGTAGTCTAGATACCAGCGTAGCTCCGCCGCCTCGCTCCGCCCCCTCGGCCTCGCCCGCCCGCGTCCTGGGGCGGGCGGGCGGGGGGCGGAGGAGGGGGTCATGCGGTGCCCAGAGACACACTTTCAGGGGAGACTATACTGCTTTTATTACTACAATTTGACCAGCATAACACTTAACGTCTCACTTGTGTAACTTTATTTATCACTGCTGTACAAAATAATTGCCTTCCACATAACCAAACAGTTATCACCTCCAGTATATTTACCCCAAAGATGTTTTTTTTATGTTGCAGTAACGCTTACCTAGTAGTTAACAAACATTTAAAATAAAGCTATGCTTGGGTTACAACAACTAAAGCCTGGCTAAGGTATTTCTGGCATTTTTTTTCAAATATCTGGTTGTTTTTGAAGCATTAAACAGACCCTGGTTAAGGCTTATGAATCAGACAGCTTGATGTAAATATGACACCTGGTTATGCTTGTGTAGCAGTTACGCAGAATGGGCGTGATAAAGCTAAAGACAGACAGATAATGGATAAAGACCATGATTCACGAGAGAAAGAGCGAGAGAGAGAGAGAGAGCTCGGGAGTGGGCGTAGATGGCTGGCAGCATCAGCTTGTGTGGCGTCCTGTGATTTCCCTTCTACACAGTCGCCACCGCTCACTAAAACTCAGTTCACTTTTTTTGTTGTAAATTTCACGCATTCCGTTTTTGATGCTAAATTTTCTTTGGCTTGGTTGCCGTGTATGTGGTTAGTTCAGGTTTGTAGTGCGAACCTGACCGTTTTTTTTCCATATTAAATACTATTACTGTCTTTGTGGTAGATTTGTTTGAGATGATGCTTAATTTTTTCTTTACTTTCAAATTGGAATATAGAAGCCTCAGTCCGGTCAAACTAAAGACAGTAATTAAGTCCAATGCAAAAATGCTAGCAGCGCGTACCGACGTCTATCAGTTGGTATGAAGTATAATGTGACCCTGCTCTGTGTGATTGTCTCACTAAGTCATGTGCCCAAATGCAGTACTTGCTCAGAGGTAACAGAAAAAAATAAGTACAAATAGAAAGAAAAATATATACTACACATACAGTATTAAATTCTCAAAAGAGGGTAGGATTAAAACAGTTCCAGAGGTTTAGGAAGATGATTATAAAGATGATACACATGTCACCCTCGGAAAATGAGGGGAAAAGAGTGGAGAAAAGCTGGATACGTGGACACAGAGATCTATATCGGGTATGTAGAATCAGCCAAATATTCACCACACCCATAACACGCGAATCGCTACATATTAAATAAGAAATAGTGTGAACAAAACAAATGAGGGGAAAAAAGTTTTTTTAAGTAGAAACATGAGAGGGGAGAATTGTTTTTCTTTACTTGTAAGCAAGTTTACCGGTGTTCAGCACAAGCTTTGAGGTTTTAAAAGCAACATGTTAAGCAAAGGATGCAGAGCTAAATCTCGGGGAGCAGCGCGCCCGTCGACCTCACTCTGAAGCGGATCCTGCCGTCGCCGCCAAGCGTGAGTACCCAGACACCCACCTGTACCTAGATCTAGCCACTGTCACACTCACATTCCGATTTTGCACGCAGTACAGCTCGAGCGCGCCGTCTGCGTGTGGGTCGTAGCTGGGAATCTATGTTTTGTCCGTGAATGGTGACCAGATGAAATGTGATGAGAGAGCTTTTTGAATAAGCGGTTGAACTATGTATTTATTTTTTTGGGGGGGAAGGTTTTGTTGTAAGTTGCTGTGTTTTTAGATTTTTTTTTTAAAGAAAATTGGTAATTTGCAAAGAGATAATTGGGGAATATGTACCAGAGTGTTGTAGAAGCAAAATTGTCAGTGTTCGCTTTAAACTTTTTCGGGGTGATTATTTAGGCATACAAGTGTGCTTTGTTATACAAATCAGTATTGTTTAATGCAAAAAAATGTAACAATCGAGCTTTAACCATCATATCATTAATTAAGGCAAGCAAATTTTTAAACGTTTTTTGTGACATAATATTATTATTTTTTTACCAATGTTC